TGTTGAAATTAAGTGTATCACAAAGTTATGTTCAGAAAGAATAAACCAGTTTTATTTAAGAAAGGACTTGTGTCGCTAAAGTTTCGTCAGAACGAATTTACGGAAAATTAACTGACGACTGGAGGCATAACACAATCAGCAAAAACTAGGGAGGATCTTACCTGTAGGCACACTTAACACTGATATAGGATATTATCTTTAGACATATTTAACATCACTACAGATAAGTAGGGAAGATCTTATTAGTAGGGAAATCTCCATACACCTCAATACAGCGACCACAAAATATACAAAATCAACCATGCATTCCATAGGAAACTTTAATAAAACAAAGAGGAATACAATAGAATAATGTGTAACTATGACAACACCAACCTAACCAGTTTCTTGAACCCATTTCCTCTATTGTTAACCTATACATACCATGACTGTGTGCATGTGTAAAAACTTAAACCTTTAGAAAGCATTGAGTAACAAGCAAAAATATTTTATTGGCATATTGCAAAATAGTATCTTTTATTTCAGCTGATTAGTTTTGGTAACATAGTTACCCCAATGATGCTAACTGTATTACAGAAAGTAGTTGACTGAAATATCTAATTTATTTTTTATTCTGCCAAAAAAACAGTTGTGACCTTTCATTCTTGTATTGTAATCTTCACTTTCCAAAGTAAAAGGAACAGAAATATTAGGTACACAATGTTAATCATGCAAGATATTTAATTATCATTTGCTATACATCAAATACTGAAACAAAGAACACATAAATGGTTTACAAGAGAGCCTAATCTAACAGTATAATTCATATTCAAGACTAATTTATCAGTGTTTAAAATGTTGAATAAGGATAGCTTACATTGATGCCCATTTCTGTAATTACATTGATTGGTGTTTGTCATCATCATTTGCTTCTAATTTCACTATTTCAAAGTTTGTTCCATTGTTCTGTAAGAATAATAAAAACAGATTTAACTAAAAACCACAATTCTAACGGATGAATTACCTCAACTTATTTTATACTTAGCAAAGATTGGATACTTTTAATACAAAATGTCTGTAAGTGGTTTATATAAATTGCTGATCCTGTGCTTATACCTACAGTCAGTAAGAATAAAAAATATTTTCTTCAGCAAATTTATATAAAACAATAATCCAGAATGAGGATAACTTGTGAAACTCTTTCAACATTTGTGTTGGATTTGAGATAAATTTATTCCCAAAGTTGTAATGATTAGTCACTTAAACAATAACTTTTTCATTACTTACTAACTTATACTAATTTACCAGACTAGTGGACAGCTTTCCAAGCAAAAGAACTAAATGTACAACTTGTCTTAGGACGTTTTTAAAGAAATATAACATATTAGTAAATGAAACAATAAATGTCAGTAAATCAATAAATAGTTAACAAGTGATTGAACAATACTACAATGTTTTGTTATTCACAGGAAGAAAAAACTGACAAGAGTTCATCAGTACTGGACCTTCGAGTTGAAATATGATTAATACTTGTCATAATGACTGTTCTCTGATACTGATCCTTCAGGTTCACTGTATATAATTATCACTAGTCTTACTAAATGACAACAGTTCAAAAATAACGAATGTACAAACTTCCACTAAAAATAAGCACTAGAAAAAACTGATTGTCTGTTGGTAGACATATTCACTGGGATGATGTTAAAGAAATTATGTGAACCAAATTTTCTTACACTGAAAAATACCTCCTTTCACCCAGACCAACCTCAATCCTGGTTTGCTTTATAAGCACTTCTAAAAGTCCACCTGTCTTTCATACCTCTCAATTCACCATATTTTTCTTTTGAACATGTAATGATCATGTGATCATTCTCCACCAGTCATGTTGCACCATCTGTACTGGTGCAGCTAGCTCCCTCTACTATTCTGGAACAAACCTCTCATTCAAGAATTGGCAGTTACACATCAGATAAACTAGCACACCAGTGGGGAGGAAGGGTGAGTAGAGGTAAGTACCTATTGGAAATATATTTTCAGTGTAAGGAAGTGTTAACTTCCAAAATGGTCTTACCTCCCCTCACCCAGTGCTAGAATCCCACATTACATAGGTGGAGGGGCCGAAAGTGACCACCCCAGAATCACAGGTGTGCAAAATCAGGAAGGGAAAGCATATGTGAAGGGTACAGCACCACTTCTGGAACAAGTTTGTTCTTCTCCCAGTAATCAAAATCAGAACACCAATATGGGTGGAACAGGCAGGCACCAACATATTAAGTATGAAACAATTGGCTCTCATAAGTAGGTGCCAAGGGCAATGCCTTGGGTAACATCAGAGTAAAACAAGTGTGGTCCATCCGAGCAGAAAACATCCAGTGGAAGCACTTTGTAGAAGAAATTGTATGATCAACAAGTGCAGTCCTCCCGAGCAACAACATCTAGGAGAACACCTTGGATATTAATCTAATAAGAAAAAACATCTATAGATAAAAGATTGTTAATATAGGTTGTTTAAACCCTTTCGTTGTCAACATTCATGTGATATTCTCTCCACACAAGTAGCAAGACATAGTACCAAACGTATTGATAGTAAGCCATAATATGGTGCCTGAACAACATGAAATGGCTTTAAGTAACTGGGGCTGAAGTACGACTGTAAGTGAATAGGCCAAGTGTGGTCCGACTGGGCAGAAAACATTCCAGGGAAGCAACTTGAGATATGATGTGTTAGGCCCAGTGCGGTCCATAGTGCAACAGAACAGTGGAAGTGCCTTCCATCAGATTTTGAGATCAACAAGTGGGGTCTAGCTAGCAAAAACATCCAGGGGAAGTGCCTTGCATGAGATATAGAATCAACTAGCATGGTCCATCCATGCAAGAGCAGGAAGAAGTGCCTTAGATACTTGATATATGGCCAAGTGCGGTCTGTCCAGGCAGAAAACACCCAGTGGAAGAGCTTTATCATTGTTTAGTATCAATGAGTATAATGACAATAGCCCTCTTATCACCAAGTGGGTACTCATGATCATACAAAATCCACTCAAGAGGAAACTTCCTTGGTCCGCCATTCCATCCTATGGGAACTGGAAGTGGTCAAGACTTCCATGCTCCAATATAAGAGAAAGGGGTAGATTTGCAGTGTGGAATCCATAGGAACAACATGCTGGAGACAGTGCAATGGGTGTCTGTGTTACCCCATTTTAAAGTTGATTCAGATCTGAAGGGGAGTACAAGTGGGAGATGGAAGGTAAGAAAAAAAGAGGAATAGTAAAGGGAGCAGGAAAAATTAATGGCATAAACATAGGAATGATGATGACCGCAAGCCAGCAGTAGGAAAGGGGACTGAAGGGAAGGATAGTCTAACAAACACATTGCAATGACTTCCAAGGATGAACCAGACAGGACATGAAGGATAACAGTGAGATCCAAATCTGGATGAACAAAAGGGTGTGGCAGACAGACCAGACAAAAGAAACAGAAAAGGAGGGAAATAACACGGAAGAAGGGTTTTCAGAAACAGGAGAAACAGAAGGTGTTCGACAGGGGAGCCCTATCATGAGCATCATTTGACACAGACAAACGCTGCTCAAACAATTGGGTGTAGAATTGGGACAGATGAAGAATAGAAGGACTTAATGGGCAGAAGCCATGGTGAATGGACCAAAGTTTAAAGGTAGACCAATGCCTCTGGTGAACAGAGAAGGAGGAAGGTCAAATGGTACAGGAAAGCAAGGATGCTACACTAGGGGAGAGACCTTGAGTCGAAGCAAGGGGCTGGACAAAGCCACACGAGAAAAAAGAGATTGGTGATGTTGGGATGAATGGCATGCAAATGCAATAGTCCAAGGAGCAACAATGCCAATGGTAATGGCGGGACTGCTGCTCCAGTAAAGGCCAGAGCATAGGAATCTAGCCAATATGGAGCAAGAAGGAGAGAAGTGTGATCAGAGGGTAAGCATATAGGTGAGGAAAATAGGCCTAACCACACAAGCTCACATAAATAGCAAAACATGGGAATACCTACTTGGAGTGAGGAAGACTCTTTGAAAAACTTAACACGAATCGCCTGGGAAAGAGAACAGTACCTAACTCAGAAGGCATGGTAACAGGTGGCAGGTGCCGTATAATGTATAAAGAATTTTCCACACAGTAGGTATAACCTTCCTCAGAAAAAAATATTGTGAAAGGAAGAAATCATTGGTGGAACGTAAGATGAACTCCCTGTGAATTGCAGTCGGGACATCCCCAGCAGATATAGTCAACCTTGAGACTTTGGGATGTGTGCAGAACCATTCTCTACTGCCATACTAAAGTCAGTATGGACATAGTAGAATTCAGAAAATGCAAATATTTCTGAAACAAAGGGGTAGAAACAATGGAAATCACATACAGGAAGTTGAAAATAAAAGTAGAAACTGACAGAAACGTGTGATCAAGCATAATCAAATGTCTATAATCACGTGGACACTATAATGCCAATCAAAAAAGTGGGGTTTGTTCTGGAATAGTAGGAGCTAGTTTTGCCAGTATATATATATGGCACAAAATGATTGGTGGAGAATGGTCACATGATCAGTACATGTTCAAAAGAAAAATGGTGTAAATTGAGGGGTATAAAATACAGGTGAGCTTTTACTACAAACTTTTAGCAATGCTTATAAGGCAGACTAGGACTGAGAGCTCTGGGTGAGAGGAGGTAAGATTGTTTTGGAAACAAACATAAACAAGGGAAAAACCATATCTAGCAAAAAAACAACTTAAAGAACACAAGGTGAACAGAAAGAAAATCAGGGAGAACAGAACACGTGATGATTGTCATGAACAGGCTGAAACTGGAAATCCAGATCAGACTTAACAAACAAAAACTGGCTTTTTTAAGAAAACTAACTTGTTTGATCTGTATGATTTAGTTTCTCTTAGCTTCCTAATCACAAAATTGGGCCACAAGAAAATAAAAATAACCACATGATAGTCATATAACTATATTACACAAAATAGAACACAATACAGTTATGCCATAAAGACAAGTTACATCATAACAGTTCTCCAATACTGTAACTACAGTGTGATAATAGTTCCTCCATACTGTAACTACAATTTATACCTTTAGTTTAGGGGAAGAGGCAAATAATGCTTGATTATTCATTTAAAAAGCAGTATAAAACAACATTAGAAATTCTTTGCCTATAAATCTACTGTTTTCAAAGTAATTAAATAATTAACAGTAATTTCTTGGATACTTAATAATAGAAATGTACAACATTAACTTTCTAACCAGTTCTTATAATAATAATAATAAAACTATAGCAGGTAAATTTATTAAATTGCAGGAAATGTGTAAGTGTTTGGAAAGATGAAAGTCAAGAACAAGAGATCTGTTGCTAATGAAATTAGCTTATTTGCAATTAGAATGACTCCTTATGTGATGGTTAGTTTGGTTTTCAAACTAGACCCAAAACTTGAACATTTATTTGAAACATGGGCTAGATGAACAGGTCAGAAGTTTCAGTTATCCATAAATTAGAATCACTGGACAAACTGTGGCCATCCAGCAAGCAAGCAACGCCTGCCAACGATGTTGCTAGATTGACTGTGTTATTATAATATACCCCTACGGATGAAAGTGTGTAGTGTGTTCAATAACATATTAATGCTCAAACCTTTGACTATTCAATGCTTAGTATGGCACAGATGAAAGTGTGTAGTGTGTTCAATAACATATTAAAACTCAAACCTTTGACTATTCAATGCTTAGCCTGGCATGTCAAATATTAGACCAGGCCTGGCTCTTTTGGTCACTCAGGCACTAAAGTATATATGTATTCTATCTATGAAAATGTTAGTTATTATTATACTCAAAGTGACAAGAAATGACAGAATATCTTAAATGGAAGAACCTATTAACAACCACCAACACTTACCTCAGGTATAGTAAATTTGCTTTCATGGACCTCAAAGTATGGCCGAAACTGATTAGATGGGTTGACTTTAAGTGTAAAGATGCAAGACTGAAAAATAGGAAAATACATATTAGACTTCATGCTTTTGTTACTTCTACATCATACATATTAAACATCCAGGAATAACAAATATTTACATCACTCTCAAACCTAGTTTATTCTCTGCAATAATTATAAACATGTATAGCTCCCTCAGATATGGCTGTATATCTTATCTTTAGGTTACAACTATATATCCATTACAAAATTTTACATTATGCCAATTCCTGGATAATGGGAAATTCTTTAGTTTATCTAATGAAAGATTTTGGCATTCTTAACTTTTCATTGTCTTTGTAATATTTTATTGTTTTCAATTCATACTCTGATTCTCGTAATGATTTAGCAATAGTTTTACTGAGTATGGATTGTTTATTGTGGGTAATAGTTTTAGGTGTTTTACGGAGTCTGGATTGTTTATTGTGGGCAATAGTTTTAGGTGTTTTACTGAGTATGGATTGTTTATTGTGGGCAATAGTTTTAGGTGTTTTACTGAGTCTGGATTGTTTATTGTGGGCAATAGTTTTAGGTGTTTTACTGAGTCTGGATTGTTTATTGTAGGCAATAGTTTTAGGTGTTTTACTGAGTATGAATTGTTTACTGGAGATGAGAGTTGGCTCGGAAGAGGGGAACCTCATCACTTCTGATCCTGGTATACTCGTCGCCCATACGTGGAATGTGTAAGAAATCATGACAGAAATTGAGAGAAGTAGATCCGAGTGGGAGATAATGCAATAGGAAAGTGATCCTGACCAGAGAAAGATACAGTAACTCAATCCCACAATAAGAAAAGTGGGTAAATAAGGATGTGTCCCATGGTATAGAGTGGTTAGGGTATGACAGACTGTACTTGGTAAATCAACTACATCCAAAACCACCTCGGGAGGTACTGACATTCATATGAGGGTAGGATGAAAATCATATTATCTTCACTTCAAACCCAAGAAACGGGGAAATGAAAACCACTCTGATTCCCGGGTATTACACAGAATTAGCTCTGAGCTATAGATCTTGGAATTTGACATCCAGTATCAGAAGGAAGTCTATTGCATGTAATCAACTCCTGCAACCATGAAACAAGCTTGGACCATCCAAAGGGCAATAACATCCACGTAATAAGTGAGAACGAGGGAGATCCAGCATAATCCCACATATCCCTGCTGTGACCCACAACACAGAAGGAGGAAATTGATGGAGAAAGATAGACAACCCTAAACCTGTGTGAGGACTCATGTTGATTGACATCATTGTGAGGGTAGGATTGGGGCTCCCAATCGAAGAGGTGAACTGCATTTTGACATCTCAGTCCTTTGTATGGTTAATCACAAATTGGAGGATATTATGTCATCTACACTGGCAGAACACCACCTCCCTACTCTAAGCAGAATTGTTATAGCCATTTTATGTGGAACCCATCCAGCAGGGTGCCTCCACGGTCGACCACCCCAGCAGCTTAGGAACTGGTAAGTGGTAAGGACTCCCATACTCCACGAGAAGAAAAGGAGGAGATGAGAATGTATTGAAGAGCACGGAGCAATATTAATATCTGAGACAGTGTAATGAGTGATAGGGAAACCCTATTTTGAAGAGCATACCATACTGATTTATTCAATCTAGGCATGGCAGGGATGGGCAGCTTTTCCCTTTTGCTTTAACCATGAAGTCCATGGGGGTTTATGGTCCAAGATGGGCCAACTTATGAAGCAAATATTGGGATGTTATTCACCAACAAGCGATTTTGAGAAACACTTCATCTCAAAGGTGAGTGTGAGAAGCCATGGAAAAGAAAGTGCTAGTCAACATGGCATACAGTGCAGATTTAGATTTAAAGAATACCTGGTCAGGCACTGCTCACCATGAAGCAAATCCAAATAGTGAATAATGAAGCAAGGGCCCCTGAAATAATGAATAGAAACTTACCCATTTAGAGTCGCACCAATGTATTAAAAAATGGCATAGATGGTAGACTAAAACCCATCAAGGAAGAAACCACAATACTGTATAGGTAAGAGGAGACAAATGTATTAGTTGTAGTCCTCATTCTCGAATGTAGGAGTTCCCCCAATGGCCAACAAAGACGAGATACCAGGGAAAAGGTAATGATGTCAAATCTGATGAAAAGACACCAGAAACAAAATCTGGGAGGAGGATGACAAAGGGGAGTGAGTCAATAAGATCAAAAGTCAAACACAATTGGTGAGGGCAGAAGAAAAAAGATCTTGACACAAGGAAAACTGCTTAGGAATAAAGAGGTGGGAGTGGGCACCAAGGAAAGAAGCCATATGGGGAATTGAACAACGAAGAGCACAGACCATATATAGGAGTCAATCCAGATAGGGATGAGGATAACGATGGGAAATGAAAGGAAGGGAATTAGACAAAATGAGGAGTTACCTTCCTTAGCTGCCGATGTCTTAGGTATGAAAGAAAGATCCAGATAAAGGAGAAGAGGGGAAGTGGGAAAAATGTATGAGAAACATCATGGAGAAACAAATGTACACAGGAACAGAGGCGAAGAAATTATGTTTGCAGGGAAGGTGAAACATGGAACGCAAGGAAAGTGATGCAAATGAAGTTAAAAATGAGGGAATAAAAGATTGCATTAATATCCCAGGTCGGAATGGTAAGCAGGCAGGGAGGACAACTAATCAGGAAAGAATGTATGAACATAGTAAGGATAGGTGAGGTAAAAACTCCACGCTATTCGGAAGAAATGAAGGTATGGGACATGGCTGCCAGATAACCCACGATAACTTAAGCTTCAGAATGGATAAATTAAGGTAATTTTCAAACTCCAGAGAATCTGGAAGTTATAATAAATGAAGACCACTTCATAAGTATACTAAATACGAGCATGTAACAGTAAAGAATGACAGACACCAGAGTACAAGTGCTGCATAACGAAAATTAATAGTTCTATAGGGGTGCATAGAGGAAATCGCATGCATCACGTGAGTGTACTATTCTCCTATTGGTGGAGAAGCGACACATGATGATTTGCATGAGAGACACGTTAGAACCTTTTGATTCCAATAGGGGGTGCAGAAGGCTTCTGGCATGCAGAATAAAAAAGTTCACATATAGAGAGCAGCAATGAACGAGAATAGCTAATCTTGTGAAAAGAGGGAAGTACCTATTGAAACCTAACTTTTTGATGTTAAAAACAAAATAAATGTAACATTTTCATGTAAGAAACAAGATAAACCTAACTTTTTCAAAGTTTTTAGTGTTAGAAACAAATTGTTCATTAAAATATATTTAAATGTCACAGCAATACTTAATGAACAAAGAAATGCTTGCACAGTTGCAGCTAAGTATTCCATAACTCTTTTGAATAATGCCAAATACAATAAAATTAACAGAAAAACTGCAAGAAGAGTAATGAAACAATCCTGACAATAATTATACCAATAAGTTAATACACCCAGTGTACAGCAATACTTTTCTTGGTGATACGATAATCATAACAGTGACCCCTGTATTGATATTTTTCTATTTTATTTTTTAAGCAAAATGTTTAGTCATTATTAGGCATTCTTTTATGTCAAAACTGATAACCAAGAATATTAATTAGTAATGCCCCCTGGTGGGAGAGCAGTAAATCTACGAACTTACAATGCTAAAATCTGGGATTGATTCTCCATGGTGGACACAGCAGATAGCCTAATGTGGCTTTGTTCTAAAACAAACAAATGAATTATTAGTATCCTGGCAAGCTCATGTTCCACTCATTGTGTGTAACTAAGAGAGACTTTTGTGTAGTTATTGGGAGTTAAATGAAGGTTTGTTTTAGAACAAAGCTGCATTGGGCTATCTGTTGGGTCCACCATAGGAAATCAAACCCTGGATTTCGTAGACTTACCCCTTTCCCATCAAGAGACATTGAATGAAGAATTTATTTATTTGATGTGAATGGGGGAATGTTAATAACGAATCAGTAATATCTAACTTATGTTAAACTCTGGACATTATGTGTGAACAAACTGAAGCATTGTTTTATGTGGTATATAAGTCTTTGTGGTCTGATAGCGTATGTGAAACTTTCATATTCAGCTAATGTGGGAAACTTGAATATATATAGTTGGAATGTCGGATTCACCATTCATGACCTAGCACTGAAACATAAACACTTCACCTGCATTTGGATAAATTGACCAGTAAATTCTTGAACTGCTTCTGTATAGGTTAACCAGTAAAATCTTGACCTATGTCTGGATAGGTTGAACAGTAATGACTTTGTTACTTTCTGTGTTTTTAACTATAATGAAAGAGACTTCTTTTATTCTGCTTAATGTACTGTGAAAACATTTGATGTTTAAATACTTGCTGCAATCGATACAGAAGATGCTTTAGATCTGAGTTTCAATCCAACTGTTGAGTTGGAGAAACTCATTAAGACTCCTCTCATCATTAAACACATCGATGCAGATGCTCCTTCAGCTCTAACACTTATAGAAATTGTCTATCCCTTCCCAGCCCCTGTCTTCTGGAGCACCTCAACCTCGGAGAATGAAGATTAAGATGGGATGCTGAAAGAAATTATTGGCAGCTTAACTCTCAACTTCACCAAACCTCCCAAGTTACATCAAAGTAACCTATACCTTTGACCTTGTCTCTTTTTTTACAGCTCGTATGCTTATTTTTATTTGACTACCATGCCCAATCGAATACAGTTTGGACATACAAACTATAGACTAGCCATAATCTGAAACAAAGACTTGTAGTTATGCTGACTGTCCATCATGGGGATGTCAAGAATGGAGGTGACACTGTAGTAAGGTATAGATACACATTTGATGTGACAATAGCTTAAAACAAGTAAAGAAAACCTCAAAGTCACCATCCAAGAAATCACACCCAAGTAGGAGGAAGTCAAATCAATGGGCATTCTATACTACACCAGAAGAGTTTCACATCCAGGAATTGGTGGCATCACTGCCAATCTAAGATGTTTACATAGTTGGCTCTCTGGGAATTCATCTTTTGGGAGAAAGGTATAGAGTTTTTCAGGTC